GATTTCTTTCCAGAGAGGACCTAACAAGGAACCTTACATCGCTGCTCTCTTTGTTGCCGTCATCGCGATGCTGTTTATCCTGGTTGGCAACCTGAACGCTCTCGCWCCWATCGTTACCATGCCCTTTCTTGTGACTTACGCCGCGGTGGACTAYGCCTACTTCAAGCTTGCMATGAGCTACGATATCAAACAACAACAAAAGTTACTTGACCAAGCGAGACGAGAGGCTCGGCACCAGGCTTCTCAGGGAGAGCAATTACCAACAACTAAACTGAAAGATGACGATAACTTTACAAAGATAAGTTATGGAACAGGGAACGGGGACTCGGGAWYTGGARTGACGCTKGAGAAAACTGAGAAGGATGAYTCGATGGAGCAAGAGAATTCTGACAARGATAAGGTGGACGAAAGAAGAGTGGCARTCGAAGCGAAGGCTCCTAGAGTTGATACAGCTCACGTCGAGGAGGAAACAGACGGCACCTTGAAGCCAACCAATTACGGAGATAGCGACACCACGTTTTTGCTGGGAAATGAAAACGAGGAAATGAAACATATTCATATTTCAACTAAAGAAAGAGGTATGCACGTGGCAGATAAGGGTTGGGGTGCCTGTGGTATACATACTGCATTGCAAGGTGTCAAGAACTAGAATCTCACTGTATGATCGGCCTAGCCTCCAAAGCATCCATTTCCGGTTGTTCGCTAACGCTCCACCACAACCGGAAATGGATGTTTCGGAGGCTAATGATCCTCAACCACATCCACACAATGACAATAGTTTCAGACAAGGGAATGTTTCTCAGTCGTATCTTTATTCAGCTCTTGCCTGCAACCATCGTCCGACCACTGATCATGTTCAACCATTCCCATGAGATTCAAAAGATAAAAGACCGGCGGCCTTGTTGGAGGAATGAACTAATAGATACTAATGAGAAATTCGTTTTTGAAGATCGTCCAAGATGGCCGCTGTAACGTATAGTGAAAATGAAAAAAAGGGACAAATATCTAATCAAATGAAACATTTAGCAATTATAAAAGGAAATCTGACAAGGTTTTATTCATTTTCTCTTCAGAACTCAAAAAGTCTTATAGCGAGGAACACCAGATCGAATGGGAGATCGTAAAACAGCCTTCTTCCTATTACTCTGATCTGTGCAATCGATGGGTGTCGTTGGCAGGGGTAAGTACAGTCGGTTAGACTTTTTAAGTTCGCCGACGCAAATCTTTTTGCGTTTTTTGTTTTGAGTCTTGCGAGTGTTTTTGGTGAAATGCCGATATAGGACCAATCAGAGCGCGCTCTAATCAATGTTCAAGTCTTTTTCATTTGTACTTGAAAAATTATTGAGAAAAAAATTGCTTCCTTTTAGTTTTTAACAACAAACGTAATAATAAAATTACCATTTTCATTCACACGGTCAAGCGCTATAATAATTTGTTAATGTTATTTATTGATTTTTTTTCAGATGATTATTAGTATTTTAATAATGTTTCTTATTCACTGGGGTTATGCACTTGCAAACATCTCGTTAACGTTGATAGTTTATATCTATATTGGACAAGCCAATCCAAGCTTATCTCAAGGTATGTCACTCCTTATTCCGACTTGACTTTTGAGACTTGAATTGACTGATGTACGAATGTATTCTGTCACATGATTTGTAGGTATCGCAGCTGATTTTAGCTTTTTACGATGGATTCAATCTTTATGGGAAAGACTAACAAGGTGAGATTTTCAGTATCTCAGTTTTGTTTTTATCGAATCGGGATCATTAAAAAAAGGACGTTGTGCATCTCCAGTGAATGAACTTCGCGACTAAACGTCGTTTTCAGTTGTCCCTTTAATGATGCCTTCGCTCACCATTCATTCATCCATCCATATCGAGCTAGTGTCATGCTCTGTACTGTATCCATGCAGTATTACACAGTTTCAGGGCTTTATTTAGAGGTCTTTTCCGTACTTACACTTATTCTAAAAAACCTTGTCTGAGGCAGCGGCGAACGGCGATTGTCGAACGGCAGTTGGGTGACCATTGCCCCACAATGGTTGCCCTTTTACCTTACCAAATTTCACGTGCTGGGCTCGCCCTCCTTTCTGGAAATGGAGCCAGTGTTTACCGCAGATTATCTTACAGTATAAATCAGTTATTATTTCCCCTTCAATTAGCAAAACTCATGACTCCTTTCGGTGCAGTCAACATTTGTTCCGACAATTTTCTTGAAATAGGTATATATTTTTCAGGAAAACGCCGGTAAAGCAGCAATACGTAGTCACGCAATCTGGTATCCCGTACGGCGTATCAACATATCAAGTCACAGARGACAACTCAGACTTCGCGTATCGTGACCGAGTTCACCAGTCATCAGTTATAACATCACTGGCCCCATAACATTCCCTGAAGTACACCATACTAGGGTTGATTTRTYTAAACCTCACTGAGGGTGGTCGCTATATTAGAGGTTTATTAATACCAAGTATTGGTTGATTTCTGTGAGGTCTGTCGGCAAGTTATACTTCTTGAAGAAATGAGAATTCTGGGAAAGATGATCTCCTTCGGGACTTTTAGACACTATTAATTGAAGATGGGGTCCGGATCGACTTTCGTTACGTTATTTCTTTGCAGTTGGCTTCATAGAGGTGGACGGATTATAAAGAATTTGAATCATAGGTTTGTTATATATGTCTATAAGACATGGTCGGTTTCTGGGGTGTTAAGACGAGGGATTAGTTATTGGTATTAGATGTTCTATATCATTTAATCTTATCAAAGCTCAGGGSCGTGTGCAGGGGTTTCGTGAAGGTGGTTCAAGATTTTTCAAGATTGGTAAATATTAGGCAATTGACTGAAAAATTGGGCAAGTACTGTTTAGGATTCACTATGAATAAACTGTTGGATCATCTGAAAATGTTGATTTGGAARTAAAGTCTCACATAAAGACTTCTTCAGACAAGAAAGAGGGGTTCTGAAACACCTGGAACCACCCCCTGAACATGCCCCCCTGATGTCTGCAAGGCCAATTATTAATTTGGAATCGGTTTTCCCTATGCAGAGGTTGTTGCACAATCATCTAATGGGACAATTGCATTGAATAAAATTAGGAAGAGATAAAATAATTTATTATTATTTGCATGAAAGGATTATGATTATATCAAATATATAAAAAATATTGACTGAAAAAAACTATTATTTTCCACAAGTGAACAAATTTTGCTTTAAAATATTGTGTAATATTTATTTTTAAGATACATTATGATAATTAAGAAAATTGGCTAGATTTCCAACGTGTTAGCTGTCAATCAAGAGTTGTTCAGGTACATTGAATAATTATTGGTACACTTCCCTGATCAATGTAATATTTAGGGGGGAGGGGTACAGGTTTCTGACATGTTGATTAAGATAGAGTCAATGCTTATCACTGGCATGGGTCTTACCTGCAGGAAAAAAACAGTTGACATGGGATACACATAATATTAACTTATGACAGGCAGTTTTTGTACAGAAATTACAAATAAATGTGGGTTCCCTGTGTTTGGCTCTCTTTGAGTTCAAGAAGGTATTCTGACAAACTACATCATAAATATCATTAAAAAATGTACAAAATATTAAGAGGGCAAAGCGTGGTATATAAGGACAGCAAGACTAATACTCGTGTATGATAGAATATGGTGTATATATAGGGTTATTTATTAAGAGACACTGCAATATATTATGTTCATTTAGAAAAAGACTTAACTTTGAAATCCTTTCATGATGGGAACAAATAATTGTCATGTGACTTGGTATCGAAAAAATCAAGGAGAATTTTCTAGTTTATGTTGTTTGTAGAGAGTCTGGTGGCCTTCTGAGCTTATAGTTATAATATATTAGTTAGAGAGGATGCACTAAATCTGTGGAAAAAAWTTACTTAAAATATACATGGGTCTGGTTGTATTAAGTGTGAATTAAGCAATATCSACCGGATAAAGCCTTTAATATCCAGTGGATAAAATCCATACTAAACCTAAGGATAACTATATATTATCCACCTTTTGTACAACTGAACCCAGTATAATAGAAAACAAAGTTATTAACAAAATCTATCACCTATTTCAAAATATTTGTGTTTCATGGATTAAGTTAGCCTGAGTTCATCCAGCGTTTATCTGTAATTTTGAAAATAAACCGGATGTACGCAGGCTAGGATTAAGTTTGCTCTCTCTATAACTGAAATGCTTAATTCATAAGTACTATTATAATCAAATAATACATGTAATAATAATTATTACTGTTTGAGTTAGATGTCAAGTCATTCTAAAAAAGAGCTTTATTTATGCTCAAATATTTTTTGAAAGGAGAAAATTTTCAGGATCTACARTTTAATTATTTTTTAAAGTTTTTTAATTGTTTCACTTTTTTGGGGAAAATAATTAAAACAAAACGTCAAAAGCTAAAACGTCAGATGTCAATACAATATAATTAATATAATATTGAAAAATTAATTTTGAAATGGTATTTTAAGGGTGCAATACAGCACATATTTGTGGAACAATTTGTTATCAATTTCGTTTTGAATAATAATAGAATTTGCCGAACTAGACACAATGGCTGATAAACAAAATAATGAAAAAAACAAAATGTCTTAAATTGAATGTCTTCATTTACTGTTTATGCTTTATTTCTTAGTTGATAACCAAAGAGAAACATACTATTTTAGGGTTCTCAGTAGAAATGAAAGTAGACTTCAAAATATGAAAAGTACCTGTCAAAATAAGAAAAGTACAGCCAAGTAATTTACGAATGAATTCGTAAGTAGTCAGCGATTAACTACCGGTAAGCTATATTGGTGATTTTCGTCAGTTTCTACTGAGAACCCAGTTCCTAGCGCTATAAATAGTCAGAATTGTTTCACACTTTTGTGGTTTAATGCACTCACTACTTTTTATTACTTTTTAATTGCAATAAAGCGCAAAATTAACATAGCAAATTAGAGTGTTTAGTACCCTGTTAGCAGTCATCTGTCAATTTTCGAGGATATATAATTTTTTTCAGSTAGGATCAGTTAGCAAGAAAACAACAGTTGATAATCTGCAAATTGTCACAAATGTTCACAAAGGTTAGGTATATTTAAGTTTGAAATAACTTGATGTAAATGGGAAAAACTCAAAATTAAATAAAAAAACATAAACAAGAAGGGTTAATTATTGTGATGTTTTCGCTTCATGAGAAATCTTTATTTTTTCATGAGAAATCATATTGAATGAATGAAATATTAATACAAACTCAACATTCTTTTATTGGTTTTAACATTCCTGACATAAACTCAATATTTAAAGTAATGTTAAACAATAATTTTAGACATTACAACATTACTGCATGTCCACAATATTATGTAAAAATTCACTCTGATATTCCCACAATAATACTCTAGTATGTTTTCCCAACATCTCACCAAATTAAATAAAATAAATTACACACAATATAATACTTAATCTATCTTACAAATACTTAAATAATTATATTAATAAATTAAAATTACTGACCAACATTCTATGATATTTGTACACAAATTTACCAGTCTGTAACATTATAGCTATTCAAACAGTTCTTCCCAAAACTTGAGAAGCTGTTTATTTACAAATGTTTAGGGACGTGGTCAASTGACAAATTTTTTGTCAGGTATTAGATATTAGGAAATGAAAGGCCTTCAAATATCTATTTGCAATATCTGTTTTTACAATTGAATCTTACAATATCTTCATTCATAGAGCATAAAGACATAATAAAAAGTAATAGTTTTGATGATTGATTTTTCAATTATGAAACATAAGCAAAAGTCTTAATGGATTATGTCTGTTGACCATGGCCCTGATAATGACTCACAGTTATTTCTACAATACTCCATTTTCGAAGCGAATAACCACTGTTTTCTTTGACAGCAGATTCTCTTACGCAAAGAACTTACCAAACACAAAAGCACAAAAAGTACAATAGCACTAACAATTTACATTTTCCMTGAGTTCAGGCTAACCATGTATTCCCAGAAGGCTTATACCTTAGGTCTTATTAGAATACAGGGTAATTAGTCTGAACTCAGGGAAATGTAAATTTTCAAAGCTATTGTAACAACAACATTTTCTTGTGCTCTCTTTTGCGTTTCGTCAGGTCTTTGTGCAAGAGAATCTGTTGTCAAATATAGCAGTGTTCTTTCGCGGCTATGAATTCAAAACTGGAGTATTGACCAGTWAACAAAGAAAAAGCACACAATGATTTACTGTCAAAGAATGTTTACAAAGATCTATTCCAGGAAGTGTAATGCCGCCCCATATCATTATTGTAATCATTACACTGCAGGGAATGGTTGTATGATATCACTATCCACTGGTTGAATTCAGCAGATAAAATCCATACAAAATCTATTGAATGAACAATTGYATCCACCTTTTGTACACCAAGCAATCCCAGGACGATGGGATATAAGCGCCTGTGTAATAGCCTAMAGATTGGGTTACGATAGCCATGCTTGTATTATCATTATTATCAATGCTAGTCATTATCACCTACTAATTTTAATAATTATCATTAATCRTTATAATCACTATTATTAATTCTTAATTATCATTTTGAATCATTAAGTAACAATATCATTCCTAGTTTATCAATTCGCAATAATATACTGATATAAAGATAAAAAATAAACCTTATAAAAATAACATTTACAGATAGGAATTGATTAAAAATAGAAAGAGAGAAGTTCAACTTGAGCAATTTCTTTTTTTATATATAATAATTATTCTATTTGTAAAGTTATTTTCAAAGGTTTCTTTGTTATTTTTATATGCAGTTTTTACATTCCCTGGCTGTATCCACAGACATGAAATAAATGTCATGTTGCTAGATAATACTAACATAATAGTCCCCACCCAACAAATATTATAGCAGATTTTACAAGATTTTGCAAAAACTGGAAATTCATGGCATCACTGTTCCTCACCATTGTCAATGATGTTGTCTTGAATCATTACGTTTATTTTACATGAGAGGTTCTGTGACCATACCATATCATCGTCATATCATACTTAATATCAACCAATAATTCTTCATATTATATATCCCTTCAACTAATAACTTATCATRTTGTACTAAGCATCAACAAATAAATCTTCATATCCCTCAGTCTTTACCACTAGTCATATCATCATACCGTTACATTTCGCCAATAATTCTTCATATCAAACTAATTCAGCTTAAACCAACAGTATTCTAAAACCAAAGATTGTACAGCATGTCAACTGTCTGTACCATCACCAAACGGTGTATATCTACCRATAATTATCAGTCTTTGCAGCAGTATTTTCAGTATACAAGTCTCTTTTGACTTTGGAGGAATAGCAAGGAAAATCAGCATCTAGAAACATATCAACATTTAGTTTAATACTTTTTTTAATAGGAAAATAAATTGTATGGATGAAATAATGCAATAATAAAAATATGTGGAATAGGAGAAAACAGGAATTGAATACATAACAAACTGAATAAACAATAATAAAAATAACAATAATATTATTAAAATTGAAGACTCTTGTTGGAGATGAACCTGAAGTCCAAGAATCTGGGAGGTACAATATTTTTAGCAAGTCAAATCAAAGAATCTTTCATCTCCAACCAGAGAGCCTTCAATCTTTCATTAAGAAACAGAGAAAGATCTGGGTAAGAGAATGACCCAATAAGCTATGTGCTCAGTAGTTGTCCTTTCTAGAACTCATTAATAATTCATGAGCTATTAGTCCAATGAGCATCGAACTACTGGGTCATATGATTGGCCTTTATATCCGATAAAATACTGATGTTTTATTAATCAGTTCTATATCAGATATATAGAACTCATGTTTTATTAATCAGTTCTATATCAGATATAAAGAACTGATCAAGTTCATCAGCGCTTTATCGCAACCCAACACTAGCAAAGGTCTCAGTTTTAGTGTCGCATCAATCTTTGCTAGGTTTTAAATCAGTTTGAATCAATGTGCCAACATGCACTATAGCTAGACTTGCCGTTCTTGCATGTGGCACAATGCACATGCTCATTAGAAGTTCAATATGCACTGTTTTCGCATTTTTTAGCTTTTTTCTAAAATGATAACAATTTCWGAATGTTGGAGTTCTAGAAGTTGTTTATAGAACTCGAGTGCGTGTTTTATCGGATATATAGATTCTCGCCTGCGGCTCGTTCTATAAACAACACTTACAGTTAGACAATGCTTGTGTTCTAAGAAYCAACAAAAGCCCACTCTGTTCACTATACTTACTGTGAGATTTTCAGTTTGGCTGGTGGCTGCCCYTTCTTTCCACTCAACCTCCATTTCTGATACGCCTGCAGTTTAATAACTCCCTCCTTCCCTTCAGACAAACTCCTTGTTGGACTGTTAGGTAAAGGCTCACTGTTAATCCTTTCATGATGTACAGGTTCTTTAGTAGTTGAAGCCATAGCTCCATCACTCCTCACTGATGCAGTCCTTTCAAATCCTTCACAAAAAACTCCATCTTTAGTGTGTTGTATTAAACCATTTCTTTCACTGATTTTAGAGTCATGTTTATAATTATCTTGCATTAAAGTTATAGGGTTGTCCTGAATAATCGAGGAATCTAATTTGTCTTTTACAGTTGGTGTATTTTCRCTAGTAGRGTCGCTAACGGCTTGGTGCATAGTATCTTGATGTTTTGAAATGTCAGTTTTTGGTGATTGAAGATTATTGGCTTCGCTGTCTGATCCCAAGGAGTTTTTGCTTCCTGAAGGAGTCAGCTTTATTTCTTCACCTTGGAATAAAATAAAATAATGATATAAAGTATTCATAATAATGAAACTACATTTTGTTATGGATAACTTTATTATTGATCAAAATTTCCGATTTTCTTTACATGAAGAGGGGAGGGGTGGTAAGAAATTATGACTGACAGTAATATTCATACTTGACACTAACTATGATGATGGAAATTTATTCGTCATTATCACATTTTTCTTCTTAATTATATCCATTTTGAAATTACAAGTGAATCCTGCAATCTGATTGGTTCTTAGCACTAGGTTGATTTCAGCCTAAATCACACCATTTTGAACTCTTAATCACACGAAGCAAATATTGTATTTGTACGAATTAATAAAATTTTATGCTGTACAATGTGTTAGATTTCAGAATGGATATAATTCAGTGGTAATTGAACTTTGTGTCATGCAATTTTGTHTTGAAATCAAACTATGCGGTCGTGCGATTCTGAATCACGAGTTTGATTTCGAACCAAATTGCACTCTACTCAGTTCAGTTCCATTATTCAGTTCCATTATGATGATATAAATGATGATGATGATAAAGAAACAATGGTAAGAATGATGATGATGATACTGCTAATGGTAGTCATACATACCAGTAGAGACATCAATAATACTGTCCGGAGTAAATGTCCAGGGATCTTGTCCAGTAGAATTATCRCTAAAATACGCTGATGAAGAACTCCTGCATGACCCATTCTTACAACTAACCAAAGACCCTAGTGGTGCAGGTTGGGCATCAAGAGCCCAATCACTAGCATCATCAAAACAACCCTCTTCATAAGCACCCTCATTTACTGGTTGATTTGAAGGYAAATCACACAAATCCCAGGATTCTGATTGGTTATTTTTTGATGGCAACACTCCRCTATCTGAATCACTGCCAAAGCTATGCCAATTTGAATTTGAAGATAGCGATTTCAAAATAGTAGAKGGGCAGGAAGCTGAGAAATCGAGTGATTGAGAATTATGACCATCAACATTATCTTGATGAAAATCAGTGAATTCATCCATGTTGTTGATGTTATTAAAATTAGTTGWTCTTTTTAGTCCGCCAAGAAACTCGGCATCCGCAGCTGAAGTGACGTCATTGTTTGATAATGTTGAAACATGTCTTCCATTACGAACAAAGTCTGTGAAATCATCAATYTGAGAATCCTCACGCCGTGTGAGATCACTGAGGTGTCTGCRAGMATGCTTCTTGTGCGAATGTTGCAATTTTGGATTGTCATATTCATCATCTGAAAATACAGTGYGATCATCGGAATAGTCTTGATAGGATTCTAAATTCTCCTCTTCTCTTGCMAGCATGCAATCCAGCTCTACTGCTARTCTATCTCGTTCAGCTTGTATTGATGTAACTGTGGATTCGGCATCCATGACTTGCCATTCAAGGTTTGATATTTGCTTGTCTTTTTCTCTGAGTWCTATTTGTAATGATTTGACCTGACAAGGATGTAGGCAACATAAGTATGCATTACTAACATACAATGCAGTATTTCACAAACAATGGTTCAATGTATTAAAATGATGTTTCAATACAATCAGTACAACATGATATATCACCTTGGGGTACTCCCAAATATTTGCTATGCAGGGATGTGCCGCTGGCCAGGGTATGGTTTTTGGCCTTGCTGTCTTTTAAGACAGGGTATAAATTTTACCCGAAATTGCCTTAAATAGGCTCCACAATTCCTTCCAATTTAGATAAAAAACTGATATAATTTTTTGTGTGTCTTGGACAGGGTAATATTTTCATAAGAAATACTGTAGAAATAGTAGAAATATCGTTTCACTGTACCAGGATTAACTTGTTACTTGTTATTGTCTTTAATGGATGTCAGTATAATTACAGTTTTGATGGTTGCTGCGTAGATAGCGATTCCTATTTTTTCCGATTTGTCTTGAACAGGGTATAGATTTTCACTTTCTAGTGTCTTAAACAGGATCAGGGTTTTAGACCGCAGGTGGCACGTACCAATCCAAAACGGGATCGAGTAACCCCATCCCCCCCCCCCCCCCCACACACACACACCCTATACCCCCCGGGGTATATGGCTAATCCCATTGTTTTCCATGCTTCTTTACCTAATGAACTAATAAGTCTGAGTAAACTATATTAAACTCATCCCATCAATTAATCAATAAACCATTGAATAATTGTTCAATGAAACAACCAATCAATCAATAGATTAATCAATCATTGCATCAAATAGTGAATTAACCAATTCATCCATCAATCATTCAATCAGGCAGTCAATCAACAACCATTGCATTAACTAATAGATCAACCATCATCCAATCAATCAAAAAGCCAATCAATCAATCGATCATTCAATCAACCAATCAACCAATCAACCAATCAATCAACCAATCAATAAATCATTCAATCAATAAATCAATCAACCATTCAATCAATCAATCATTCAATCAACCAACCAACCATTCAATCACAAAATCAACCAGCCAACCAATCAATAAACCCATCAATCAATCAGTCAATTATGATGAATACTATTGACCAATCAACCAGCATTACTCAATTCAATATCTAAAAAGGAGAAAAAAAGTTCAATAATTGAGGAATCCCTAACCTCTTTCTCTGCCTCCAGTTTATCATTCACGGCAATTTCTGCATCAAGACTTGTCTTAGCCCAGGATGGAATCTCATTTGAATCTACAACAGAATAAAAACAAATTCATCAGTTAATACAAGCATCACAGTTACCTCAAATAATACTCTAATCAACAAACCTTGCTTGGATTCCACCTGGGCCATTAATTGTGTGTTCACCGTTCTTAATGAACTAAGTTGTTTTTCGTAGTAAGTTTCTTTATCCAATGAATCTTTTTCACATTGAATCACCTGATCTTCTAACTGTCCCTTTTCATACATCAACTTTTCACATTGAACTTGCAATTGTTCAACTTTTCCTCTGAGACACTCAACGGCATCAAGCAGATCTTCAACATGTTCTTCTGTCAAGAGGTCAACTTCCCGTGGGCTATCTTCACAGTCATCAAATTGACCAGTTACGCCAGCCATTTGATTAATTTGTTGCAATTGTGYTATATTATATTGCTATTCCATTTTTTGTGAATATRAGTTCTGTTGATGGTGATGGGATTCCTGTGSTTCCATTGTGTTTATAACATAGTTGTTCAAACCTGGAAAAAATGGAAGATTGTATCGTCAATAATTTAATTGTACCAACTGACCAGGAACAAACTGAATGGAAGAATACGAAAAGGAGTAAAATCAAAAATGGATGAACAGATGAACGGATGGATAGTTGAATGAATGAACAAATAAAAAGATGAATTATTTAACCTATATTGTTTACAGTGCTTTCAAATTTCCGAATTCTCACAAAACTAGTAATTTCAGATGAGATTCTTAAACTGCCAAATGAACCCAAGCATTTCAGACAATTTAAGGAGTGTCACTWTATTCTTGTTTGCGACCCAATTATTTTGGCATCTTCCCAGACGGCAGGGAGGTGTATATAGTCAACGCTCGTACTCAAAACAACACCATTCCGAATTGCTTGAATATTTTTGCTAAACTTTGAAAAATTATAAAGTTMAATTAAGCCAAAAACAAACAAAACAAAATGAACCTTTTCGGTTTTAATTAACCACGTAAAACCACAAKATTCGATGTGTTCGAGCCGTACAGGAAATCATGAATCGTGATCTTTAAGTAGTGTTGATGATAGAGTATACAGCGAGAGTGATCAATTATTGATAATTTTCCATTCAATTTACAATACGTGTGTTTCAGACAACTAACAGATTTATGCAATTTATGCAGTCTTGAAAGGTTAATCCWTTAAACGAAATCAACCCACAATRTATTTTGACAGCTTTGAATGATTGCTGAAAGCAATGTGGAAAGATTTGTTTCAAGACTAAAAAGGCGTTCAATATTTATATTTTGTCAAATTGTTGAGTTTCGAAACAATATGCCAGTAAACATGTAAACAGTCTTTAAATCCACTGTTTATGAAGAACTTAATAGAGATTTATACATCGTATACGTATACAAGTCTTTCTAGGAGTCAAATCAAGTAAAAACTGTGTAAAAAAAGATAAAACAATCTCGAGTGGTGCAAACTAAAATCATGGCGGTACGCCTACGTGCTTTCATAAATACAAGAATCGATTTAATTAACAACCTTGGAGGCCTTCAAAGCTATCATGTTTTGCCAATACTCAATAATCTTTAGTTAAGCGGTGTTTCGATGAAGAAAGCCAAAGTTAAACGAACGTTAAGAGCTATTTTCGTCGTCACAAGTATTGCATTATCGGGAGTTCGCAATTTTTTATTAATATTGTCATTCAAACAGTTAATTTATGTTGATGGAGCTTTCTTCAAAGATATCATTTCAAGGGAAAACTCGAACAGCATTCAAACATCAATATTTATTTAGGGAGAGAAGAGAGAGTCCAAGGAATAAAATTCCAATCAAAGAGAACGATTTGCCATCGTAATTGATTCCATTCGCAGTGATTGTCTGTCAGGACTGCATCGGAACAATTTCACTGTATTTTGATCCAGTAAAAATATTTTTCCTATAGAATAGAAACGATATAATTCCAAATAGCACAAATACTGTGTCGCACTACCTATATTTTCGTTCGTAAACACCTCACATTTTGAGATGACATCGAGCGTGCGACCAAGTCAAACATAAAACATAATTGCATTTTCTCCTACTCACCAAGTACGAATTAACTACAGTTTCCTTGGAAATTTGAACCTTTCTTCATTATCTCATGTCGGTAAAGATTTTTCTACTCAATGAATGTCGAAGTTTCTTCATTTTCTTCGAGTACAACCTGTGATATTTCTCGTTTTATGTCATGAGGCCTCAGTTCCGTGCTGATATGGTCACGTGGTAAACAGGGCTTCCCGCCACTTCCTGATAGTCCATTTGCGCTAAAAAGCGCAATTAAAAAACCGTCAAAATTAACTTCTCACTCCAGTCTTGTGAAAGAATGTAGGTCGGCCGGACCGTAGGTAGTCTGTCAATCAATCGCTCCGATTCAGCTAAAAACTACCTAAAATGGAGAAATTAAAAAATGTTACGCTGGAGCAATGCGTGAAGCCGAGATCAGTTTTTTTATTTACATGTTACATGGACAGTATGATTGATCAGGTAAAACGTCTTAATGACAGTTTCCCTGCACACCGGACCTTTTAAGTTTGTGTGTGTGTTATGTGGGGACGCCGAACTGTGAGTGGGAGGGCGCGTACTGATTTCGAGTCAGCATTAGTAAAAACAATGTCTCTCGCACGATCGTCCAAATCTTTTCACGAAGTCTTGGAAGCGGCAATTCGTTTTATTTCTTTTTTTTCTGAAGCCGACTTGTCTATCTTTTCCCACTTCTTTTCCTTTCTGTTCAAAAAAGCATACATTTACTGGAAATAATGAATGGGTTTCCTGTGTCTGCATGATGTCGAGGCTGTCTAAGGTGAGGCTTTCCATTCCATACAAAATGGCGAGCTTGTTTGCTCTGCTTCTTTGYTCGCTTCTGGTGACCACTATTGCTGCGGAAAAATACACAAATTACACGGAATTTGATGGTGGAAATTACAAACTTTGGTGGAGACACGAAAACTCTACCGATACTTTTTATTTTAAAGTCGAAGTTGGTGCAACTGGATGGATAGGTTTCGGCATTACTTTGCTCGATTCAGAACCTTGGATGAGAGGTGCAATGATGAAGTACGATGTGGTAGTTGCTGGCGTTTATAACGATGGAAAGCATTATTCTGAGGTGGGTATTTATAGCATGAAGCGGAGAACCGGTTTCTTTTTGTGACATTGAAGACAAAAATAGAGGTAGTGTCGGCGGTAGGACCAAACGGACTTTGACAAAGCTTGTTATAACAGTTAACTTAAGTAAAGTTATAACGTTGCGTCCCGTTCAAACCTTTTAACAAATGTTACTAGTAATATCTTTAACTTATATCAAAAGCGCTTTAACGTAAAAGGGTTCATATTAAGAAACATTTAAATAGCTTTGTGTCTCAACGTCCAYGACGCTTGGTTTTGAACTGCAGATCAGCATACTGCAAAAGCACTTCTTTCAGGGCGGAATAAACCAAATTCCCTCAAACAAAAGCGAAGATTAATGTCTTTGATAATTCCTATTCCCGTATCTGAATATTTTCCCTCATTAACAGGTGAAATTAAATATTAGCTKATTAAAATGTGTATATTTTTGATATTTTTTTGTATATCACGACTTTATTACTTTAATGTTCATCGCTAACCCAACCGAAACCCAAAAACTACTTGTATGTAGAAGTGATTTGTACTGTATAACAATGTATAGCTTTTAATATAAGTGTAATAAATTAGTATCAAAAACTCCAAGCTGACTTTTGGACCCATCAATTGTATGCAAGGACTTTAACCTTACAACATGTATGAACCCATACCTCTTTTTTAATAACATGGTGTTCATTAACATTTCAGGACTATCTGACGGCGTATCTTAATAATTCGCAAATTCCACATATTGATGAAAAAAATAACTGGGAAATAACTTCTGCAAAAGAAGACGCAGGAAAAACTACGTTGGAATTTAACCGAAAAAGAAAAACTGATGATCCGATGAACATACATAGGCCTCCTTACAAAGGGGACATTGAAATTACAGTAAGTACTTTTATAAATACAATATCAAATACTGTAGTTGCAGTGTTTGTGTAGATATGTTTATTTTTGTATTGCTTTCAAGAGATGGTTATTTTTATAATTTTTCTCACTTTCTATGTGATCATTCTCTGTTTCCATTTTGTAGTGTTTTTGTGAAATGGTTAATAATTCATGTAGTTGCCCAGATGTATTTTATTCTATAATGTCATTATTTTTTATGTCATCATTGTCTGTTTCCATTTTGTAGTGTTTTTGTGAAATGGTTAATAATTAATGTAGTTGACCAGAATTATTTTATTCTATTTATGTCTTATCATTTTTTTATTATTTTCTTAGCCTGGAAGGAGAAACTTTGTGTGGGCTTACCATGAAAACATAGACACACCTTATCTGAATGATACGAGCTTAAAGCACACYAAGAGTGGTATTAAACCAGTTACACTTATCAAAGAAGATGTCAAGGAACCWGTGTACAAAAGCTACCCTTCAAAGAATAACAGATCAAGCCAGGCATCAACAATCACTGTTATTTCAACTTTCACATTTSTGGTTGGATCTTTACTTACTTTTGTGACTGTCTGCTTCTTTTAACTTGTGCCCAGAGAGGATACCAGTTTGTGGCTACCTGTTTCCAGTCACTTGAAGGCAATGGTAMAAGGACTACAAAATATACTTGCATTGTGTAACAAAATGTGCTGGAATGTTACAATTCCATCGTGGCTTCTACATAATCACAACTTAATATAACAATAAAATATAGGGAATATAGAATAGCGCCAAATATTAAAAAACAGCAGCTAGAAGGTATTTTAGAAATAGAAAAAATCACTGGTTTTTGCCTGATGAAATTTATTACTAGTAATTTGCAGTTTTATTGTTAATACATCTGCAGAACTTTCTTAAATAGTTATTATTTCTAGATCAGCTGTCTACTTTTTTTCTACTGATTTAAACTTGACATTTTTATGATTTCTTTTTTATCATGATTAAATTTATATTTGTTTCCAAAAATCTGTTAAAAATGCATAGTTAGCCTGAGTTTCATCCAGCATTTACTCGTAAACACCGTTGGTCATTTCAGAGAATAAATTGAATATACTCAGGCAGAAGTACATAACTTATGAACTTCTGACTCAGGCTACAAAAAGTAGGCTAAGTAGAAATCACTACAAAATGACMAGACTATTACATGTAAGTGCTTCTTTGAGCTTGACCACGATAAATACTATTTAATTGTTTTGTAATTATTGTTTTGAATTCTCTGTTAGAGTGATCGCACTTAATCTGTGCAACTGTACAAACTAAATAGTGATGTTTAGTTGTATTTAGTAAATCGTGCATGCGATACGCAAATTAAATTGAATTGGTACAAATATAGCATTCAATACCGTATTGCTTCAGGTCCACTTTTAGTACAAATTAGTACTACTTAGATTTTGTACAGTTGCACAGATTAAGTGCGTTCACTCTAGAGTACAAACACTGAAACTGTGCAACATAACTACCACTAAATACTRCTAATTTATGCTAATTATATTGTTTTCTATTGTTTTATCAACACTGTTTTGTAGTAAGTAGTGCAAAGTGTTGCACACATTTAGTGTTTTCACTCTATTGTGAACATACATAATTTATTGTCAATTAGAGAGATTGATAACTAGACTAAAAGTAATAGGTGATTATAATTATTTGCAAACTTGTACAAAACATGTTTACACTGTCTAGAGTGAAATCAAGATATTTGACTATTGAAGTGCAGTCAATTAGACACAAAAAAACAACGCAATTTTATCATCCAGGTATAATAAAAAACTGGCAATCCATTTATTTACAATTGCTCAGGTTCAAGTGCGGAGAACACAATACCTCGGGACTTATTAAAAGGGTGTATACTGCTCATTTTTCAAAGATTGAGTGTATGCGCTTTAGTATCCTGTGAACATAATACCTCAAGACTTATTAAAAGGGTGTATATCAACCATGTTTTGAGTAAGTTCATGTTAATTAATAATAAGTTATTTAATAATTATTACATTAAAAAAAATTCATTTGACAATGTATGGATTTCAGATTTATATGTTAATTTTAGACATGGATTCAGTCGGCTTTTTTAATGTTTTGAAAGCCATTTTGATGTTCTGATTCTCTGATCACACAGTGTCTTGGAAACCATCCTTTCTCCATATTCACTCCTACTTGAATTCCTGTGTTATAGACAACAAAATAAAGATACTATAAATATATTCTTTTATAACAAATGTTTTCTAGATGGCAAAACATTATACTTACTACTTGAATCAGTTATTGTCTTCTCTCCATACAACCAGTACCTAAAACACAGTCAGGTATTTCATCACCATGGTGATCATTCAGAGGACAATCGTTGCACTGCGTAATCATTAATAATTATGAAATTTTTGCTATATATAACGCGCGCTCTGATTGGCTGATGACCGTGTTTATATCAGAGGACAGAGACACGGCTTACCGGCAAAATTTTCTTTTCGCTCGAAAAATTTTATAAGAGAAATATAAAACGGCCGCTTGTGTCTCTGTCCTCTGATATAAACATGGTGGGAGTTGAAAAACACTCGAGAAGCAAGAGAAACACTCGCTACGCTCGTGTTCCTAAGCTTGCTTCTCTCGTATTTTTCGAACTCCCACCGTGTTTATATCAGAGGACAGTGACACGCGCGCCGTTTTATATTTCTTAACTAATGATAATTTATCAGAGATATCATGAAATAGTCAATTTGCAGCGATAACTTAATTGTACAACAGAGCATTATATTGGAGTTGTGGTCCAAGCACATTTTTATATTATAGTCCCATACAAAATCTCCCTGAAAGTTGTTTTCCTTTTTCTGTTAGAAACAGCACATTATTTACTTCTACTTTTCTCAAAACAACAATGACAACAACAACAACAACAGCAGCAGCAAACAACAACAACTACAAACAAGGAAACAATAATGGCAGAGGAGTCCTGTTTTACAGTGTGGCTACAGAAACTGGGGCCACTTAGAAAAAGTGGAGCACTAACCAATCATATTGCAGCATTCAGCTGAAGTTTGAAATGACTGTGGGAACGCTGCAATTTGATTGGTCAATGCTGTTATCAATTCTATCATGTCTGGTTTTTGCTGTCATATGATTGGCTCAGACACCTGAATTTGGAATGCTATTGTTTTCATACATAAACATGATTGGCTTGCTTTAGTAAGTGGCCCCAGTTCCGATACCCGCACTGTAACAGATATGAAAAATGCAAAGACTTCAACTCTCATGTTTTGTTGTACAAAATGGCATTACTGCACATTGCTATTAATGTCTTGTCTTACTTTCTCCACCTAGTTACCAATATGACATCATCCTTGACTACAGCCATTCTATGTTCATCAGACCAYGGTGTAGATATACATGTTCTTAAACCCTCTCTACATGCTATAACACTACCATTATAATGTTTAACAACACGGAATGGAACCTGTTAAGAACATCAGATAATCAGAGTATTCACAGTTYACTGTGTCTTCATCAAAGGTGTCCAATCCTCCTATTACTGCTCCACTTTAAAAAAAAACAGGAAGCCCAATACAATTGCTATGACTAGAGTTATATGTAAAGYTTGCCATGTTTTTGCTTCCAAGAAAATTAATTGGTAAGCTGACTTGCTGATTATCAAGTTTCATACAGTAAATAATTTTATTAATTATACACAAAAAACAACTTACTGTTCTGTTTCTCTTTAATTCCTTCTGCCACAACTGTTCAATCTGGCAACATATTTCATAAGGTCAGTATAATCAATCCAATCCAACTTTCGCTTGGATGAACACGAAGTTATGTACAAGCATTATGGCTGCATTTCGAGGCTGTTTTTTTCTTTTGTTGAAAACTCCAGCCTCGAAATGAAGCCATTAATTCGTGTCCATCTCAGCGAATGCAGGATTGGTCTATTGACTTTAAAATCTGAAATAATGTACTATTTCTATTGGGCTGAATGGTGGGCAAATAGGGCTTCAACCTTTACATGATAACAATGCACTTGTTGTGTTTACTTACAGTAAGTGTGTATTGAGTACAGCCTGGTAAAACAGGCCACGTGATACCATCACCTTGGTAGTCACCTCTGTGGAAAATCACCTGAAGAAAACAAYCATTATTAAATTAAAATTATTGACATTTTGGTCCTAATAAAAGCAGGCCCACKTATTTCCATTGTTCAATTCCACTCCATTTTTGAATGCTTATTGAATGTGTAATACAATTTTTTGGCATATAATAAGATAACAATTTAAAACACCTGTTTGAAGTTTTCTTTGAATCCAAGGTTATAAGGGTAGATGAACACTTCTCCATGAGGCCTAGGCCTGCAGGACTGTYAACAGATACAACATAAATGATAATAATAAATGATAAATAAASATATCCAGGACAATTTAACCTTATAAAGGGAGAAGACAAGACAGGGATCAAGTTTGACCAKTTAAAGCATTATTATTTTAGCTTAATGTGTGAAAGTGCTRCCTGAAACTCACAGGAWCTCCTTKGGTTAAAAGGTTTGACTACYTTTCAGTATGACTAAAGTAACTATCTAACTAAGACATTTTACCTTCTCTACAATCCATGCTTCTATGGCTGTTTCATTGTCCTTTATTCCTTTGCACTTAACATAAAATGAATCATTCAAATAAAACAATCAAAATGAATKCAGTCAAATGAAACATTAAAACAGTGGGAACTAGCAGTAAACTAGTGTGAGCTGMGTMGGTGTTTCTAAAGAAACAGTTGTTTAAAAAGATAAATTTAGCACCGTAAAAAAGTATGTGAAATAACTTAACTGACGTTTCAGACGTTAATCCTGACTTAGCAAATTTGTCTTTAATAGACAAATGAAAAATTATTTGATCTAAAAGCTGTTTTATGTAAGGCRTATTTTGAAGTCCACTGTAAGTATCTCACCTGGTAATACAATAACAGTCCTACAGCTATGGTAACACCAATAGACAAACCAAAACAGAACATTAAAGCAATAACTTCGTATACTCCCAGTGGCATTAACTGGCTACTGTACTTATAATGTCTATAGTCAGTTACCTGATGAGGGAAGATTAAATTATCATGAAAACACACTGATAAAGACAAYATCAAACAAGGAAAAATAGGTAAATGGCACTGATTGGATGGAATTCCATGAGAGATGATATATGCGTGAATGAAAGAAACAAAACATAAATACCATGAATGGGTGAGCAAATGGAAAGAAAAATGGTTGAATAAATGAATGGATCAATGATTGAATAAAATAAGGAGTTGAATGAATGAATAAGTGGAAAAGTGAATGAATGAATGAAATATTGGGACCAGTTGATTGACAATGAATTTAATAACAAATGGAAGAACAAAAATAATTGACAGATATTATGAATGAGAGAATAAAAGAAGAGAATAGAAGAAGGGTTAAATTGAGCAGCAAAAGTAAATGGGAMATGAGAAGTAATTAAAAAAATGAAGTAAAATAAACTAAAATAATATTATAATAATTATTCTGGTGACTGAAAATATTTTCTGTTATAATAAGTATTGTTCCCTGGTGTTTCTATTTACCATATAAAGCTGGTTATAAATGCACCAGGCCAAGATCACAGCACAGTGAAGACAGCCAGGRGGAACAAAGAATAAAAATAGTGTAAAACTCTTCATATTTTTGTGTCCCACACAGTTATTAATCCACGGACAATGGTGATCCATCTTCATTATACATCTGATGAAGGAATCACAATCATTAATTAATAATCTACATTTTTAGTTTTGAAATCTTATCATGCTGTAAAATAATAATGGTCTTCATACTGTCAAAACTCCCTGCTAAACAAATTAGAACATTTCGATCAGATTTTTCTTGTCAAACTACCTTGAGCATTTACTGCAGTGATGGGCTCTTGGTGCTTTGAAACCTTGACATATATGACAATATTGAAGACATTTTTCATCTTCTTSTTCTGGCTAAAATCAAAAAGCAATCATTACAATTATCAGAGCCTGACTATCATGATACCCCGGGATGACCCTGTGTCCTAAATCAACACACCCTATCCAACTTAAAATGTCCAAAAAATGATGCAGGGTGAGAATAATATAATAATGTTAACAGTGTCCTACTATCATAGTTCAGTACTATACCTGCACATACTTGCATACCGAGGATAGCGTATTTCCCTTCCTCCCCACCCCACCCTACACCGCAAATATTGGGGCCGTCTCTCCTTTCTACCCCCTGGGCATATCATCATAATCATTAACAATTCATCATCATCATTATCAATACAGCAACTGAGCAACCATTCAACTTACTGGTCTCCAGTTTACAGGAACATATCCTGGTCCAAGCCAGATTGCTTTGAGAAAATTCATCACTATCAAAACAAGCCACGTCAGATAGACKACCAGCTGTATGGCACCACCAAGTGATTCCCATGGAGGACATACAAACGGCATACAATACAGACCACCTAGAAACAGTATCGTTATGATTGACAGGGCCAAGATTGGCCCCCAGTGGCACACCCCTCTAGGCATATTTCTTTTATCGTCAAAGTTGTAAGATCATTRCTGAATGATCATCTTCTTCCTGTAAAAGACAAAGTTCATTGAAGTATGAATTTATGGCCAATAGTGAAGCAAAGTGTGATTAGCAAAGATAGTGATTTAGCAAAAATTGCCAAAAATTCAAAATATGACAACTTTTGAGATTAATGSAGATCGAGATTAATGCGAGCTGACGGCTTTCTGGATTAGGAGAATATATATCTTCAAATAATGTCAAAATAACAAGAATTAGTTTAGAAATGACTTCCAATCATGGGTTATAAATGGATGTCTAGCTTATAAACAATGCACACCACCAGCGGGAATTCACGTTTGCGGCTTATTAGCGCACAGAAACAAGCATTTAATCTAAAATTCATTTGATTATCTTTAAAAAACAATATACAAATTACCTTGTCTTGTGTTAGGTTTTAATTTCAGCTTATTACATGGCATCGCTCAATAATAGATCTAGTTGAAGACAACGCCAAAACATTCCCAAATCAAATCAAGTCACCGCCATTTTTGCCCTACGAAAGGTGCCCTGGGTAATGGAAAGACTGGACCCCACTGTTAGGAACGCCTGACGGAAAACTACTTGGACTTGTAATTCAAAATGGCGCCTGTCGACACGAGAAGAATTCCTGGCCCAGAAACTAGCCAGCCGGTCATAGATCCAATTAAAAATGATCCTGACAAGCCATTGGTAATTKWAKTTGTACTTTGTGAGTTGAKKTTACGTTGAATTTGAGTGTGAGCTCGTTTWTAGGTCRGYAAAGATGGCGYCAGAGTTGATGGCAGACTTTGTGATGGTTTAAGACCTATTTGTAAGTATTCAACGGCTGAAAACCACTGCATTATCGTTTACTGAGTCTTGGAGTCTTGGTTTTGGTTTTAGAGGGAAGGAGAAGAAATGTCATGTCTCACATCAATATATTTTATATTCTTGACATTTTGATTCATTCTCTTTGCAGTCTTGAGAGCGRGTTTAGTTAGTCAAGCAAATGGATCGGCGTATCTTGAGACACAGAATACTAAACTCATTTGTGCTGTGTATCCTTGAATGTCCAACATCAAGTTAGAATTTGATGGAAAGTACCAACAGCGTAACATCATTTTTTACATCAATTGTTGTGGAGTCATTCATAYCTGGATGARTAKACCAATGAACAATCTTTCAGTRGATGCATGAAATGGAACTGGGAAGGATGGAAAGAAKTTGAATAGATAGAAGAGCGACTGATTGAATGGGTGGGAAAATGATTGAAYGAAAGTCTAAATTTTTGAAACAATGAAATTTATGGCAATATGAATATTATTCTTATTATCTTAACAAAATAAAATACAGTTATGGGCCACGTGAAGCACCAAGAAAACAAGAATTCAGTATGAAGGTAACATGCCCATCGTCACTATACAATATGTAATTTAGTGATTTCTTCATCAACCATTTATAATCAGCTATGGGTAGTCTCAGCCGTTATGAAGCTTGTGCCCAGTTCRCTCTCCACTAACAAAAAAGGGCAGAATGACCTGGGAATGACCCTCGTAATGGCTGTAAGTAGAGACTAGATACTGGAAGATATTATTGTGTGTTTTTTAGGGCCGATTGACATGTGAGTTTAAGTACGCTCCTTTTTCTTGCAAACAAAGAAGAGGATATCAACAGGTAAAAAAAATTGTGAAGATTTTTTTCTCTTTCATTCAACCAATACTCATTCATTCATCCATTCTCCTATTCATTCATGCTTCTTATTTTTGTAGGATTCAGAGGAAAAAGGGAATTCTCAGTTAATTGTTGAAGCTCTTGAGTCATCAGTATTTTTAGTAAGTATTTTTCGKTTTTTATTCTTCTCTCTTTTATACAATAAGTTTTACAATTACATTTGATGTTTGATTTATTCTTAAAGGATCGATTTCCAAAGTCCCAAGTTGATATCTTCGTTACTGTGCTAGAAAATGATGGAAGTGGTGAGTTAAAATGAATAAATGAAATAATGAAAAAAGGGCATTTAGGTGGATGAATGAAATGAAGAGTAAAGTTAAAGATGGGATAAATGAATAAGAGTACATGAGAAAGAACAATGGATTAATAAGTAGTTATATATTGCCAGTTCTCATATCTAATCATATTTAAATAGCTTTGTCTGCCGGTATAGTCTGCGCATCTGTTGCACTTGCTGATGCAGGAATTGAAATGCAAGATTTAGTTGCAGCTTGTACACTAGTAAGTACATTGTTAATTGACATTRACTACTTCTTCTGCTCATTTATTAACTTTTGATTTACCATTTAAAAGTCCAGATTATGGCCCAGTTGTCAAAATTTAAAACTATATTTTATTTCAGGCTCAGACCAGTAAAGAATGTATMCTAGATCCTAATGTTGATGAGGTAAGAATGTTCAACGACACTAATAAAGAATAATAATAATAATAATAAATAAAAGCTGTAATTGCTTTGTTATAATAATTTCAGTTGAGTTCCCAGGAAGTAGTTGGAAGAATGACAGTTGCTCTCTTGCCGTCTGTAAATCTAGTGTCTGGACTTGTTCAAGAAGGGGAAATGACCAAAGAGGACTGTGAAAAAGCTGTGAATGCTTGCATTGATGGCTGTGTAAGAATTTACCCAGTCATGCAAGATGCACTCATCAAGAATGTAAAAAGAACTTTCTTGTCTAAAGAGACAATGAAAACCTGAACTGCTAACTACAGTCATGTATATAATAGGAATAATTTTTTTAATAGGTTTCTTTTGTATTGAATTGTGAAGCCTGTGAGTTGAGAAGACAGTTAACAAAAACTGGAACTTAAAGAAGTTGTACAAATATCAACTATCAAAGACTTTTTCTTCCCCAGACTACAAAGAGAGTAGTAAGGAAGAGAGGGGAGGGACAGGAAGCCCAACACGAAAACGGATGCAAAGGAGACTACAAAGAGAGCTATTGAGAATGAAAAAAAAACATTATCTTAATAGCCTATGTAGCATCTCTATGGGAGGGGGAGAGGAGGAAACGGAAGGGGAGGGGTCAGGGGAGGAGGAAGAGAATTTGTTCCCTTCTCTYCCATCCCCCTCAACTTCCGTTTTCCCCCTCCCCCTCCCCTAGAGGCGCTACGCAGGAAACCTAAACCATTATTAAAGATGCACTGTTTTCTATTTTACAAACTCTGTTATAGTAGTTGTAGTCCCRTACCTTAATTTGAAAGAAAATTCTGAAGTTCAAAGTTCGGAAACATCTTGGTTCTTTGTTATCCCAGCAAGATGGTAACGCTTATTTGCAGTCGGCAACTTTATTTCCCTGTCAGCTGTGTGTAATTAAGCAAATCAATCCCCACCCCTCCCTGCTCAGAAGAACATTTCAGATCCGTCAATCGAGACTTCAAGACATTGGCGGACTAAACACCAGAAAGACCTCGCGTTCAACATGGCACTTGCGAACTTGTCTAACAGTACATTAAATGTTTATTGTAAGTACATCGAACCTGAGACTGAACTAAAGAAAATTGCCAAACACTTTGCTCTCCTTGCGGTAATCATCCTTGGGATTTCTTTCAACATCYTTGTCATCATCCTCGCTGCTAAATACACTGTGCGAAAGAGCCTGCATCATTTGATCATCAACATGGCCGTCTCGGATGCTTTATATCTCCTAATGATGGCTTTGGCATGGGTACCTCATTACGGACTAAGYATTTATCCTGGCGACACTTTAGGGCTTGTCGTMTGTAAAACTACRACATTGCTGCAGTTAATGTCATGCAGGGCATCTCTCATTACTCTTTTAGTTATCAGYATTGAACKRTTCGGCGCAACGAGGCGCACATTGCAGTCACGCCCATATACACTGAAACGACGTGTAGCATCTATTGGAGTCTGCTGGTTAATTCCCATGACAGTAGCTGCCTGCTATGCGCACATAGCAACTCCYTCKAACGGACTGTGTGGCGTATGGARACGGGCTTTACAGGCTAACACTTTCATTAGTTTTGTTTGGCTATTCCAGAGTATAGTTATTTTTATTGTATGTGGTGTTATATTCTTTCTTAGTATTTTGATAACAAGGCGGTTGACAAAACCACAAGGCATCCAAACCCATATCAGCGAAGAACAACAGAACCGACGAGCTCATCGAACGCAAGCAGCCGTACGAATGGTTCTTGCCTCGATATTGCTGTACACATGTTGCTGGCTTCCCTACTCCGTCTTGACAGCTATATATATGACCAGTATTGCATTCCCATCGGCTAATATCATWAAATCGTCAAATTGCATGATCGACTGGAACTCTTTTGCTTTTGTCGCTTGGAATTTCCTACCTGTAATCAACTCATGCTTGAGCCCTTGTATTTATTTCGTATTTCTGACGGATTTTCGTAAAGCCGCGAAGAAAATGCTCCGCTGCTACCGAAGAGAAACTCCAAACCAGCCACCAAACAGCAYCTTCCCCATAGAGCTGCAATCAACATCAAACCCGTACCTAACGTCAATCAGGATAAGAAGTTCTGATGAATTTCAAGAATTGAAGTTAGACTGATGGTGTCGCAGTTTCAATAGCGAGCGATCTAGGATTTTTCAAAACACTGGTCTAGATGTTTCGCATTTCTTTGCTTTTGATACTGGGTGCTGTTCGTTTGAATGTAAAAAAAAAAACGGTTGCGGTGGATCCCGTTTTCTACCCAGATCCGACAATGARTCTCGCAGAAAAACTGCAAACATTTTTAACGCTGTACATATAATATACTGTACATAGAACGCAGTATCTCATTTTAGCATTTAGACTGAAACTGTTACGTACGTAACTTTTACGTTTGTCTTCATATTGGGAAATTGGTGATTTCTTCAATAAGCTTCATGTAAGAATACTTATAAAACCGTCTAACTTAGGTGAGATCGTTAAAGTTTGTTTTCATATAGTTCGTATTTCTCAGTTTCTTTCGTTCATTTCTTCAAGTATAGTAAATTTTCTCGGAAATGTTTTCTCATTATTGCCTTTATTTTGTTTTCATTACCAATAAAGCAAGTAGTACAAACAAGGGTGCAGAGAAACGTAGTTTTCGCAAGTCAAAAGAGCAGTTTCTTCCATAATCGTTTCTCAGTTCTTTTGTTTTACTTTGATGTCTCAATTGTAAACAGAATCATTAACAGACATCTGTGTAAGTCTTTTGGAAGTCAATTTGTAGTAATAAACAGGTACCTAACTGTCTTAAGCAAATATAAAACTTGTTAATGGAAATCTATACTTAGAAAGATGACATTAGCACACTTGAATTGGCATTTTACTGTTAATAATTGATGTACATTGTTGGCAAAGATAGTTTTTAATGCCTATCATTTTGTGAACTTCACAGCGTTGTCAGTAAAGAAAATAAAGTCAAACGTCAACCTTTCTCAGAAGACTATTTCAGACCCGCCCCTCGTAACTTCCGCATTGAGGACAGGTGGAAAGACTCTTGGTAACTGCGACCAGGTCTACTCGTCTGAAATAGTTATTTCATTTAGTACCTTTTAGGACTGATCACATTACGATGTGAAGCAATGTTACTGGCTCACATTTCCAATAAGCATAAGAGTATGAAGCCACAAAAATTGAAGAGCTTGTTTTCCTATATTTCTGCAGCTTTTGTTTATTTATCCCCATTTCGCACCTACAGTTTTTCTTCTGCTAATGTCGGATACTGTCAACCAG